GGCCACACCACTTGTAGTTTTCGGCCCGCCACAAAGAACGGCTTTGAAGCCGCGGCCTAACTCTTTCGACTTGCAGCCAGCCCATCTCGTCTCTTGCACAGAGGTCGATCTTTCTACGCTCTAGGGCTTTCTGCTAACTCGTACGAGCGTCCAGTCAGCGTCCCCACATTCAGCGTCGCAATACGAGCCTTCAACACATTGCACGTCTTTCGGACTAGCCTGGTTGCCCCCGATGCCGTCCTTGCAACGAGGACCCTCGCATATTTTTCACACTCGTCGGGCCTTGCGAGTGCGCGTCGGCTCCCGCGGACGCCGTAGCATTATCTCGAAATTCATAAGGCATAGTTAAACATGATGATGTGACATGGGGTGTTCGTAAGCCGGCCCGTCACGAAGGCCTGTCGCCTGCTTCAATCAGCTCGCAAAAGCGAGCAGGTCCCGGTGGCACCACTTGAAGGAACGAACGTCACCACCTGAAAAGACAACCGTTTTCATAAATCAGTCAATTCCGGTGCCACAATGTAACATTCCGTTCCAACAGCCAAACCACAGAATTATGCAATTTAACCAATTTAGTGTACGGTATTGTCTAGTAGTGCGGTGCGGTTGCACACGCCGCAATTCCACGACGCCTAATCGAGCCGTTCGCTCTCTCCTACTCTCCCATACTCTCTAGTCCCGCCGCTGGCAAACGCTAGTGAAACGCTGGAAACGCTAGATCGATACCTATACTTTCCTTGCCCTCGCTATGCTAGCGTGCGCTGGAAACGCTAGCGTACGCTGGCGTGCGCTGCCGCAAAGTACGAACGCAGCCTAACCGAAAGTAGCCACGAATATCAACGGTGTCACACGAAGTCTAATGCTGTAATCGCCAGACTAATCAAGTCAAGAAAAGCGCCGCGCCCATCGCCGCGTGCGAGTGGGGTGCAAACTTCAACTGCCTTGAACGTCTCCCTTTCCCTCTCTGAAGCAAATCGCTTAGCAGGGAATTATACGGCACCAATGCCCTTTCTACAAACATTGCATTTACAGCTTTGACAGTCGAACTCAGTGGCCCGACTGCCCTACGCTTTTCCGTATTCCTGACCAGGGAAGCTGCAGTAAGTTCTTCACGACTGAATATTCTCGAGTTACACAGAATTATTTATTGGTTTTCCATCGAAGGTAGTCTCTACTTTTGCCTTGTACGGTAACGGCCCTTTCCGAAAAGAACGGTGCAGGTTTGTCTAGAAGCAATGGTGAAGTCGAAAAATGTGTCTCGTTTCCCTTTGGGTAAATTTCAAAGATGGACATTTTTGACAAAAAACTTCTGCTTCTCTTTTTCTGTTGTTCGGACATTTTTCGAAACATGTGGATGGATGAAACACGACTGATTTCTAGGCTTCCTCAATTCCGATATATACCATTTTCACTTTAAATCGGACACTTTTCAAACCAAATCGGACACTTTTCAAATCAAATCGGACACTTTTCAAATCAAATCGGACACTTTTCAAATCAAATCGGACACACCCCTTACAATGGGCAGTTGAGAACTAGACCACACTAGGTACTGCTGCAAGCCCCGCCCCAACACCCCGCCCACTTCTTAGCGCGGCCGTGGTTTTCCAAATGTTTTATCGACGTTGCTTTTTCAAATTTAATCTTCACGAAACGAATATAGCCATGCATTTACACACTAGCATACTAAGCCCAGCCATCTTCAAAATAATGATGCAGATTGGCGAGCTGGTGACCGTACTGGCAGGTTATGGCCTCTTCAGTCAA